AGGGTCTCCATGCCGGAGACCTCCCCAGCTTTGCTGTGGACGGGGAAGGTTGGCGATGCGTCTGCGTTCCGTGTCTGGGGATCTCGGGCGTTTGTCCGCGACTTGTCTGCGGACAAGCTGTCCCCTCGTGCTGCTCCCTGCGTCTTCCTGGGTTTCCCCCCTGACGCACCAGGGTGGCAGTTCTACCACCCCACCTCTCGCCGTGTTCTGTCCTCCCAGGACGTCACGTTCGACGAGCCAGTCCCCTTCTACCGCCTCTTCCCCTACCGCACTCCTTCCCTCCCCCCTTCGCCGGACTTCCTTGTGCCGGTTCCCCCCCCGGTAGACCCCCTCCCCCCTCAGGTTCCTGCCCCCTCAAGTGTGTCCCAGGTAGACGCAGTTGACCCGGTCGAGGATACTGGTGACTCTGGTGCTGCTGCGGGTGCTGAGCCTGGGGGTGCTGACTCTGGGGGTGTTGTGCCTGGGGGTGCTGGGCCTGGGGGTACTACTGCGGAGGGTGCTGAGCCAGGGGGTGCTGTGCCTGGAGCTGCTGAGCCTGGGGGTGCTGAGTTGGGAGCTGCTGAGCCTGGGGGTACTACTGCGGAGGGTGCTGAGCCGGGGGGTGCTGTGCCTGGAGCTGCTGAGCCTGGGGGTGCTGAGTTGGGAGCTGCTGAGCCTGGGGGTGCTGAGCCTGGGGTTTCTCCTGCTGCTGCGTCTCGACGGGAGCCCCTCTCTCCACAGGAGCTGCGCGAGTGGTTTGCTCGCCGCTGGAGGCGTGCTGCTGGAGCTGGAGCTTCTTCGACAGTCGAGGGTGCTGGTGCTGCCGGTCCCGGGGCTGCTGGGCCTGCGGGTCCTCCTGGAGCTGGAGCTGCTGAGGGGGTTGGTGCTGAGACCAATGCTGTCTGTCCTCGCGGTGGTTCTGCTGCTGGTACTGCTGGAGGTCCTGCCGCTGGAGGTGTTGGTGGCGCTGGTACTATCGCTGAGGGTGCTGGTGCTGTCCCTGCTGAGTCTGGAGCTGCCGCGCGGCCTCGGCCGTACTTTGTTCCGCTCCTGCAGCAGGTTCTTGGTCTTTCTCCTCCGGTAGAGTGTCCGCAGCCTGTCCAGTCGCAGTCACTGTTGGAGCCTTCCTCTCCTCTGCCTGCTCCCTCTCCTTACACTGGTCCTACTGGAGGTCTTACTGAGCGTCGTGAGCCTGCGTCTCGTCCTGCGTCGCCTGTTCGTACTGCTCGCGCTAGTGATCGCGGTTCGCGTCAGCGTCCTCCTCCTGTCCCTGGCACGCACCGGATGTCTCTGCGTCCGTCCACTGCTCGTCTGCGTGCCCCTTTGCCTTCTCCTCCTGAGTCCTCTCTTCCTGCGCTTGCCGACCCTGAGTCGGACTCTCTTCGTGCTGCCGGTCCTACTGTCACGCGTCTGCTTGCTACTGTCGTCACTGACCCCTCGTTTGAGTCCACTGTTGCGTCTGCTCTTGTCGGTGAGCTCGTCGACTTTGCTGCTCGCTGTCGTCTAGACTACGCTGCTAGTCTTGTTGCTGAGTCTGCGTCTGTCTGTCCTCCGTCCGTCGGGGGTGAGTGTGCTCTTGGCACGGACGTCCTAGAGGACAGGCAGGAGGAGTTACAGTGTCTGGCTGCTGCTTCACCTCATCTCGCGTCTGTACTGCTTGCTCCTGAGGGAGACCCGGATGCACTAGACATCCCGACTCCGCGCTCTTACGCGGAGGCCGTAGAGGGTCCCTACTCCTCTCAGTGGCAGGCAGCTATGGATGCAGAGATGGCTTCCTGGAAGTCCACAGGCACCTACGTTGACGCAGTTCCCCCTCCTGGGGCGAACATCGTCAGTGGCATGTGGATCTTCCGGGTGAAGCGGCCGCCGGGCTCTCCACCTGTCTTCAAGGCGCGGTACGTTGCTCGTGGCTTCAGTCAGCGGCAGGGAGTTGACTACTTTCAGACCTTCTCTCCCACCCCGAAGATGACCACTCTTCGGGTGCTGCTGCACATAGCCGCCCAGCGCGACTACGAGCTTCACTCTCTCGACTTCAGCACTGCGTTCCTGCAGGGTAGCCTGCACGAGGAGATCAGGCTGTGCCGTCCACCTGGCTTCACTGGGACTTTCCCTCCTGGCACCCAGTGGAGCCTCCGACGGCCAGTCTACGGTCTCCGCCAGGCACCGCGTGAGTGGCACGACACACTGAGGACTACGCTTGCGGCTCTTGGGTTTGCTCCGTCTACTGCCGACCCGTCGCTGTTTCTGCGCACCGACACTTCTTTGCCGCCGTTCTACATCCTCGTGTACGTCGACGACTTGGTCTTTGCAACAGCGGACACTGCTGGACTCGCCTACGTGAAGTCCGAGCTACTGAAGAGACACACGTGCACAGACCTGGGTGAACTGCGCAGCTACCTTGGCTTGCAGATCACTCGGGACAGAGCACGCCGCACCATCACCTTGACTCAGTCACACATGGTGCAGCAGGTCCTTCAGCGCTTCGGCTTCACGTACTCCTCGCCTCAGGCCACTCCTCTGCCTACTCGCCACTCACTCTCAGCTCTGCCTTCGGATGAGTCCGTAGAGTCGAGTGGCCAGTACCCAGAGCTTGTTGGCTGCCTCATGTACCTGATGACCTGCACTCGACCTGACCTTGCATACCCTCTGAGCATTCTTGCACGCTATGTTGCTCCTAGGAGACACCGACCAGAGCACATGGCTGCAGCGAAGAGGGTATTGCGCTACCTGTGCAGTTTGTCGGGCATGGGGCTAGTGCTTGGAGGGCGGAGTCCAGTGGTCCTTACAGGCCACGCGGACGCTTCTTGGGCTGACGACTAGGCTACGCAGCGGTCGTCACAGGGTTACACCTTCAGTCTTGGTTCCGGCTCTGTCTCTTGGCGGTCTACTCGTTCGTCTTCGGTTCTCAGCTCCTGTTGTGAGGCTGAGATCTACGCCGGGGCCATGGCTGCACAGGAGCTTCGCTGGCTCACCTACCTGCTGACTGACCTTGGAGAGCCGCCTCGTTCTCCTCCAGTGCTGTACGTAGACAACAAGGCCATGCTGGCCTTGTGTCGAGAGCAGCGCTTGGAGCACAGAACGAAGCACATTGCTCTCCGTTACTTCCTTGCTCGTGAGCTGCAGCAGCGTGGTCAGTTGCGACTTGCGTACGTGGCCTCTGAGGCCAACACTGCTGATGTGTTCACCAAGGCACTCGCGCCTTGTGACCATCAGCGCTTCTGCACCCAGCTGGGTCTTGTGCCTGTCTTGCCTCACTTGCTCTCTTCTTGACTTTACTTGTACTGTGACATATATATACCTGCTCCTGCTTGTCTAGTGTTATATATATATGTCTGTACTCCTGCATATGAACTGGCCTCTGGCCCTGCTCTTGTGCTCGGACTGTGTGGTGACTTTGTGATCCACCCTGAGCTTGCTTTGCTTTGCCTTGCTTGACTGGTCTTGTGACCCCTTGTTCTCCCCCACTTTGCCTATGGGGGTGTGTCAGATTATTATAGCTGATACATGTTTGTAGGCTATTGTGGGGTAGCACATATGGGGTACATCTTTCTAGGGTTGTATTTGTACCCAACACTGACTTAGTCATTCCCATTCTGATCATTCATTCTCACAGTATTGACAACTTCAAGCAGAGCTGCGCATATCATTGGATTCGGGAGATCGTGGAGAACACGATAGGCGATAGCAAGTAGACTATTGCCGACTAAGGTGCTTACGATACTAAGAACTGGTATCAGAGCTTGGCGAACAGGCGCGTTGATCGTCGCGAATTCACTTGGTGCGCTAAGTGAAATTAGTGGAGAAGAGGAGTCGTTCACGCCTACGCTATGGGAGACGAGGCGAGTTCGGGTTCCAGTGTGAGTCTCGGAGACCCGCAGTTGAAGGCTCTTCTCGAGGCCCTTGCGAGTGGCCGATTGGTGGCGAAACCAACGATCGGGCTCAGTGAAGCTCAGCGCTTCAATGGAAGCAACTACAACGTGTGGCGGAAGAAGTTCATTCGGAGGGCAGAGGAAGTGGACCTCTTGCCGTACTACTGTCCCGACGAGGAGACGATGGAGGGAGTTGCGCCTTCCACGACGGATGCGAAGGAGAAATTTGCGGCGTTTAATAAGCAAAGTAAGCAAGCGTTCTTTCAGCTTTGTCATTCAGTTGCCGATGGAATCGCGGTGGATTTGGACCAGTTTGCAGGGGAGTTGAACTCTGCACAGCGAGCATGGGAGTACCTGGAGTCCACATACATGGGTACGAACGATGTCAACAAGAAGGCGATTAGGAAGCAACTGCTGATGCTCAGCATGGAGAAAGCCGAGAAAATCATCACCTACATCAACAGGGCAAAAAGCTACAACAACGATTTGCGGGTGACGGGAGCCGCGGAGACGGAGAAAGCGATGATCGACTATATAGTCGATGGACTGCCTAAGGAGTGGGAATCCGACATCGGTATGTTTACGTACCAACCGCCGGAGAGTTTGATGAAGCTGCAGGAGATTCTGCAGTCGCTTGAGACGGTGAAGGAGATGAGGAAGAAGAAAGCAGCAGCAGCAGTTACAGAATTCGACGAGGAGAGGCCGGGTATGGTGAATGCCACGAAGGCGTTTGGAGCATGCTACCAGTGTGGAAAGAGGGGACATAAAGCGATAAACTGCTACGAAAATCCTCGAAGCAGAAACTACAAGGGCAAAGCTGTGGAGAATGATAAAGGAGAAAATGCAAGAGCGGAGTGGCATCAGAAACGAGGTTTTGGCGGCAAGTGTGATTATTGTGGGCGTTACGGGCATCGTGCCGCAGAGTGCTACTCCAACTTGAATAGCATGAGCTACAAGGGTCCGTCGCAGCAGAGGAATGTGGCGACAAAGGCGAATGTAGTGGAAGCGGAAAAGGAGGATGTGATTTTGGGAGGAGCGCATCTCGCGAACGTGGTGCGTTTACCGAAGGAGGCTCAGACAGATGGACGTGAGAAGAGGGCGTGGTTCATTGACAGCGGATGCACGCGTCACATGACATTCAGGTCAGATTGGATGGAGAATGTGAGGGAATCGAGTGAGGATTATATACTACAAGGTAACAGTGGGAAGTTACCAGTGACAGGAGAGGGTGACGTGGTGCTGCAGAGTCCGTATGGAGAGATGAGACAGGAGAATGTGCTGCTGGTTGAGGATTCAAAGGTGAATCTGGCCAGTCAGTCACAGCTTGATGACTTGGGGTGCAAGATATTTTATGACAGAGGTGAGGTTACAGTGTTTGGTCCTGAGTGGGAGAAGTATGCGGATGGTTATTTCAGTGACGGATTCTATGAGATGAACTTGATAGCGATGAACGACAAGGATGAGATCTATGAGGATCCTGAGCCTACTGAGGATGATGAGAGTGAGGACTCGGATGATATGGCTGTGAGTGTGGAGGCAGCAGTGAAGCAGGAAGAGGAGATAGTGATCATGGAGGCAGCAGCAGTAAACGGTGGAGATGGAGACGATGTCAACATTTTTGCAGCAGCAATCGTGGTTGAAGATGAAGCAGTAAATGCGAAGTGTGTGGGAGTTCAAGTTGTGAAAGGGGACATCATGGTGAAAGGATCAAAGGTGAATGCAACTGCAAAGGGGCAAGTGCTTAAGGAGGATGAACGTGTTGAAGGGTACGAGACCCGAGAGGTGTTGGGTGTAAAGATGCCGAGTAGAAGCGAGAGGCATAAGAAAATCTCTCAAGGTTTGGATGTCAAGGCGCTCAACTTCTAGACACGTAAGCAGAGGTTCAAGGTGCAGGAGCTGCAGGGGAGCGTGAAGCCGACTTAGACCCTGTGAAGGCTACAAGGAGCAGGGGAGCAGTGCGAGTGGTGTTCGTGGTTGACGAACCACAGGGGAGATTGTTAGGGTTGGTTCGCCCAACCACGGAACCTAAGGCGAAAGCATCTACGACGGCGGAATGACGGCGAAATGGAAGCGCGTGTGTGAAACGGTGGAAATCGGCCTACGGTGGGGAATAGAGGCTACGGCGTGAGAAGCGGGAGAGAAATCAAGAAGAAATGTGCTAGAAGGAGGGAGAGAGAAGGAGAAGCATCGAGAATGAGTTTGACGAGGGGAAAAATGTGCTTCGAGACCAAGGCGCGTTCGAGAAAGTTCGGGATTCGGACTTGCGGAGTGTTCACCGAATTCGGTTCGGTTGTGTGTGCGACTTGGGGTGAAACGAGGCGCACCCGGTTACTTGGGAAACAAGTGAAGTTACGAATCGCATTTTGTGTCTTGCCTGACTATAAAACTGCTTGTACTCATTCTGGAAATCATACCAATCAGATTCTGAAAATTGCTGAAGTGTGTATTGACAACTTCAAGCAGAGCTGCGCATATCATTGGATTCGGGAGATCGTGGAGAACACGATAGGCGATAGCAAGTAGACTATTGCCGACTAAGGTGCTTACGATACTAAGATCCCGGGCGTCTCATTCCGAATGTTCCGTGGGAGGATGCATCCTACCAGTGCGTGGAAAAGGCGGAGCCTCTCAGCTGACGCCTAGCAGCTGACGAGCTCCCAATGGCAGCAGGGGTGCAAGGTGAGAGAATCCGAGAAATGAATGCACCTTCGCCAGAATGCCAGATGCACGGTGATCGCCGCTCTCCGTCCTTCCATTGGGACCATCTCCTAACGGCGCCCAGAGTGGCGGCTTTGGTGCTAGTGTGCTGCCAAAGCAGATTGTTTTTGAGCGCGTAGGCCAGTGTGCCATGCGTGCAGCACCATCAGATGCCGTCCTCTCCCTTGTCTGAACTGCGCCCCTTCCTTTCGCCCTCTCCTCCCAAATCGCCTCCCCGTCCCGCGCGAGCGGAACCTTCCATGAACTCGTCATGAGGTGCTCTGTGTCACAGAGCCTGGTAGAGCCACGAGAGTGCCTTTATGCGACAAGTGGGTGCACGCATGCGATGAGGGAGGCAGCAGAAGCTGTAGATGTGACCTCAGGTGAACGGCGTCAGCTGATCCATGCCCTTCCCAGTTTCCGGATGTAAAAATGAATATCGACACAACATTTATTTACCAGCTTCCACTCCCTCCTCCTTACTATGCAGAGCGCCCCAAGTACCACCTTGCCACCTCCCCCACTCTCGTCAGCTCTCGCCCACTCCTTCCTTTCCCCTTCCCACACCAACAGCACTAACCTTCTCTAGCCATGAGAGCTCCGCTCATCGCTGCGACACACAGCGAGCTACCATGGCAGAGCCACGGGCTGCAACAGCAGCAGCAGTCGTGGTGGCGAAACCATTCAGCGGCGAGTGGGTGGAGGCAGGCAGGAGGGAGGCGTGGGAGCGAGGAACGAGGGATCTGTCGTAACGCGTGCATGCTTAACCTAACATGTATGCCATGCATAACCCATCCTCTATCTCTGACCTAACCTAACCTGTCTGCCCACGTATTCAGAATGCTTTACCTAGCCTGTATGACTGATAAAGCCTGAATGCTAACGTAGCCTGTGCGCCTGGCCTAGGGTGTGTGTCTGGCCTAGGGTGTGTGTCTGGCCTAGGGTGTGTGTCTGGCCTAGGGTGTGTGTCTGGCCTAGGGTGTGTGTCTGGCCTAGGGTGTGTGTCTGGCCTAGGGTGTGTGTCTGGCCTAGGGTGTGTGTCTGGCCTAGGGTGTGTGTCTGGCCTAGGGTGTGTGTTTGGCCTAGGGTGTGTGTCTGGCCTAGGGTGTGCGTCTCTCTGGGGGAGGAGAGGGAGATGGGTGAGGAGGGGAAGTAGGGTGGGGAGGCCGAGGGGGAGGAGAACATGGTTGGTGCAGCGAGCAATGCGAGCCAAGGTGTGTCACGTGGGTCAAGCCAAGTTTTGCCAGGATAACCCCCTTTCTGCTCGCATCCTTGTCACGTTCGTATCATTGGTCACATTCTGATGCCTTCTCCCCCGTCCCCTTGCTCCCCCTTTCCTGCCCCCCCTGGGTCCCCACTATATTGCAGGTGCTTGCCGTCTTCCACGGGGGAAGGGCGGAGCTGGCAGTTCACGATTCCTACACCAGCAGCAGCGTGTGCTCGGCGTGAGTGGCACTTGGAAGTCGTGCGCGTGCACCTGTCATCCAACCTCTTCACCGCATCCCACACCGTGAACTCCGCTGCTGAGACTACCCGCCGCTTGCTGGAATTTACACGTGGCAGGATCGCCCCGCGCAGCCCTCGAGCAATCCCTGTTACATGTGCTGATCCGCGTGCTGCTGCCTCCGCAATGTGCGCTCATCATCTGTCGCGTTGGACAAGGAGGGGGAACGGTGGTGGGGCCTCGCAGTAATAGTTTCCACCCTCGCCCACAGTAGTCAACCCCACCGCAATCGATGCGACAAATTTAGGGGCAGGCGCAGGGAGTATTGAGAGAAGCGGATAGAAGCTACGCAAGGTCAGCAGGGAAAATTGTTTCCGCGGAGTGGATGCGAATGGGCCAGGAGGAGCGGGGTGCGGTGATGAGGGGGGTGAGGGCGGTGACGCTTGCAGAGCAGGGCAGTGGCAGAGAGGAGGGGAGGGCGCGGGATGGCTTCGCGGGGGCTCGGGTGGGGAGCAGGGTAGCGAGGGCGGAGTAGTGAGCCAGGCTGGGCAGTCAACAGGGGCCGCGCTGTCGGGGCCAATGCAGCTGCAGGGTGGTCGCGGCCTGGGGTGGAGCAGCAGCTGCAACCGCAGTGGTCGCAGCAAGGGGTGCAGCAGAGGTTAGTAGGGTAAGGGGGAGCGTGAGCGGTGGTAGGGTGTGTTAACGGGAGTGGGCGGGGGAGAAGCATGGGTGGAAGCGGCGGAGGTGGATTCGCAGCTGGCGCAAGTGGCTGTTGGGAAAGGTGACGCCTGCGCCCCTGTCCCCATTTCCCGTCCGTTCCCCCGCGCCCGTCTCTCTCTCTGTTAGCGCAAGCCACGGTATGTCGTCGCCCCTCTCCTCTCCAGCCCCCACCCACCCCGGCTTCATACCCACCAGCGACACCATGCCGGTAGGGCCGTTCGCGTCCCCGAGGGCCAAGCCACCCCATTCCCCCCTCTGTTAAGGGGAGGTAGGAAGAGGGGGAGGGAGGAGAAGGTGGGGTTGTTGTGCAGGAAAGGAGATTTGTCAAAGTTGATGGGAACGTGGCGCCTCTCTGCTGCACCATCATCAGTCAACCACCAAGTAAGCGCGGGAGTTAGGGAAGAGGGAGATGGAGAGGGGAGGGGGGAGGGAATATATGAGCAGCGTTGCAATGGAGGGGGGAAATTAAATGACATCAGGCAGTTGTGGTTATGTGATGTCGGAGGAAACGTTTGCGGATTTCAGGAGGAGCAAAGGGCACGGTGAGAAAGCAAAGGGAGCTTGTGTGAGCTGGTCTGGAAGACGCGGCCTGGGGGCAGAAGCAACACCCCAACAGCGGAAGATTGTGGGTTAGCGACTATGAGGGCCTCATGAAACGCCTACGTGAGTACTAGCCTTTTTTGCATATGTATGTGCTGATGTGTCGCACGTGTTTGAACTGTAAAGAATATTATGATATCATTTTATTTTTCCTTGCCTTTGCTCGTCTACTACCCTCACAGTTCCTGCTTCTGTCCAGTTTCATCATGCTTTCCCCCTTCCCCCAGCATTCCCTCTTTAGCGTCCTCTGCCTCTCCCCACTGCACCACCTCTCTGGGTTGCGTCTTCTCCTTGTCACCACTGCTGCTCACCGCTGTTGCCTCGTCACTGCATATTTGCTCGTCAACTGCTCCTCCACGGTCTTTTCCACTCCTGCTCCCCCTCCCCTGATTTGGGCTTATTGCCTTTCTCAAACACCTTGCACCTGAACCTCTCAATTTGCTGCTGCCAATGTGCTTTTGAACTGACTAGACAGCCCTACCTTGGTCGCCTCTTCGGCACTCAGTACACATCTGTCTTCCTCCTCTGCTGCTTATGTCTCCTTCCTCCCCTGCGTCTCTGTTCCCCTCCCTCCCCTGGTTGTGCATGCTTGTTTGTCAGCTACGTAAAAATGGTCGTGCTCCCCAGATCCCCCCACCCGCCATCTCCTCCCCAACTCCCCTATCCCCACCCACCCGCCTTTTCCCCCCTTCCCCCTTCAACCCACGTCTCCCAGATCCCCTTCTCCTGCCCCACTGGTGCGGGCAGTGTGTTGGTGGGCACATGGCACGACCTGGCGGAGGCGTTGAGGAAGGACGATCAGCTGATGGCGAGGCAAGGAGGCAGCAGAGGCAAGGAGGCAGCAGAGGCAAGGAGGCAACAGAGGCAAGGAGGCAGCAGAGGCGGCAAGTGACGCCAAGATCCCGCCAGCCCCATGCATGGTGAACGGGGTGGGTGGATGGGTGGGTGGCTAGATGCTATGTGCTCATGGCATGGTGAACAGGGTGGGTGGGTGGAGTGGATGGGGGCGATGCGTGCATGTGCATGGCGTGTGCATGGCTTGGTGTGTGCATGGCTTGGTGTGTGCATGGCTTGGTGTGTGCATGGCTTGGTGTGTGCATGGTGTGTGCATGGTGTGTCCATGGTGTGTGCATGATCTGGAAGTGCATGGTTTGGTTTTTGCATGGTATTTGTGGGCATATGCCACCAACGCATGGTTGAGTGGGAGGTACCTTCCTCCATTTTATGCATCCAGCAACACTCCCTTCTCCCCATCTTTCTGTCCCCGTCCCCTCTCCTTTTCCTCTTCCTTCCTCATCTTCCCCTCCCTTTTATCTCCCCTCTCCCTCACATTTCCTCACTTTCCAAATTCTTCCACTCCCATTTAACCCCTCTTTTGCTGCTCTTCCCCTCACCATCTCTTCCCCTTCCCCTTCCCTCCCCTCCCACTCCCCTTCCATTTTCCTCTTTTTACCTCCCCCATTCCCTCCCCGTGCCCACCCCTTCCCCTCCCCTTTCCCCGCCCCCTTTTTCCCTCCACCCCCTCTCCTTCCCTCGCCTTTCCATCCCCATCCGCGCTCATCACATGCACCGGAATCAGCTCCGAACAGTTCAACATCGACAGCCAGTGCCCTTCTGCCTTGTCACAGCCGCACTCTACGTTGCTGCAGTAGACAGGGCCTTCAGGTGAATGTGAGGGGGGTTGATGGGTGATGGTGGGGTTAAGGGGCGATGGTGGGGTTAAGGGGCGATGTTGAGCAGCTGTGTTGGCAAGCTAAGATGTGCTGCATTGTTTTGACTCGTGATGCATTCAGTAAAATTGAGAGGATGTGGGTGGTTTTGTGAATGTGAGGGTGTATTGATGTGCAATGTCGGCCTTCCCTATCAACTGTCCTCACTCCCCTCTTCTCACACCTATTTTCATGGCTTGATTCCGCTCCTTGCCTTTGCCCCCCACCATCTGGACAACCACATCGACTCGCACGTGCCTCAATTCTCTCTGACCTTCTTCTCACTCCCCTCTTCTCAACCATCCTTTCCTCCCTTTCCTCCCCCTCCCCCTCCCCCTCCCCCCACCTTCCCCCGTCCCCTCCCTCCTCCCCACCCCCCCCTTTTTCTCCCCCACCCCTCCCTTCTCCCATCAGCTCAACAACTGCATCGACTTACATGTGCCTCAATTCTTGGGGGCGCGCGTAGTATAAGGGCAACTGAACCCCCTCCTTACCAGCTGGACACCTGCAGCCTGCATTGACTCGCACACGCACCAATGCACGGAGAGTGCGGCGCGGCAGATCAATCCTCATCTTCTGTCCAACGCAATCAAGTTCACTCATACGTGAGTGGACCTCTGTGCGTGGCAGACACATCCCTCTGCACTGTCACTTCTGAATACTTTTCGCTTCCTTCAATCCCTCCCCTCTCTCGCATGCCCCTCACTCATGTCTACCCTTCACATTGCCGCAGCATGATCCTACCGGGCACAAAGGACACGAGTTGGGTGGCACACAACAGCAGATGATAAGTCAAATATACCAACCAAACAGGGGGGGCGCATTGAGCGAGTGGAGTTTGTCTGTCATAAGAGGTGCACTGCACTTCTGGCAATCTCTGTCTTATGGAGGTGGAGTTCAGCTGTTTTGAGTATATGTATCCTGAAGCAGGTCAAGGCACTGCAATAGCACACAGGAAGACGAGCTCTTTGCGATGCAGCAGTCACATCCGATTCAGTTGAAATGGAAATTGTCATCATCTGCTTGCACTCTGCGTGCAATGAATGGGCCAGGTGGGTGGGTGATGCAGCAGCATGCATGACTTGTACCCTTTCCCTGCTTTGGCTCCACCTCTGCCCTCCATCCCATGGATCATGGCCTGTCACCCAGCTTAGACAACATACTGTCCTCAACAAGCTGTTGCACACCCGTTCATGCCTGTGATTTGATACCTACAAGTCAAATGTCGAATTATGTACAATACTGATGACTAAGATTGGAGCTCTGAAATCGACAAAAGGTATGCAATTGCTCATTTTTACTCCCAACATCAGGCCTGTGCAGTTTTATACCAGACAATGTTTAGGGTACAAGGCACAAGTTCACACAACTCTTCTCCTACCGGTACCGTATCCTCAGCTGAGAAGGAAAAGCCTCACCCAGCCACCAACTAGCACACACCTCCACTCGATTCGCACCCCTTTCCCATAAACCTCTAAACCCTATCTGTGTCTACATATCCTCATTGCCAACCTCCACCTGCCCTCCCGTCTCCCTCATCTCCGCCACTCGTCTCCTCTCAGCATTCTCCAACTCCCTCTTCATCTCCTCCACCTGTCCCCCAAGCTCTTTTACATCTGCTGCTCTTCTCTGCTCAGACTCCTCCAGCTTCCTTATCCCTTCCACCTGTCGTCTCTCAGCCTCTACCAGTTCCCCCTTGACTTCAGCCAACTCCCTCCTTGTCTCTTCCAGCTGCACGCCAAGCGCCCTCATTCTCGTCTCCATCACCGCACTCAACTCGTGTGTTCCGGCCATACTCGCCACGGCAGCCCCTACAGCCTCACTCACACTCTGTATCCAAAATTTAGCACACATTCTAAACACGCAGCAGAAAGGTGAGAGCAGATGGGTGTGCATGAGGCAGAGGATTGGGAACGATAAGATGGGGAGGGTCGAGGAGAAACTGCGAATCATGAACACGAAGAACTCAGGAGAGGAAAAAACAATAAACATGGACAATGAGAGTATAGCTTAAGGCATAATGAAACGTTTAAGTAAAAGCTTACAGATGATAAAAGGCAAGAAGAAGGGCAAATAGTGGGCACGAGAGGATTCGGAAGTACAGAATTTCATCAGTTGAGGGACAAAATCCAGGGGGAGAACGACATGTGTGTAAAAGAGGAAGTTAGACATCACATGCAAAAACACTGTTACATTCGCACCAGTACACATTTGGTGTTTAATGAGTGGAGACATGTTGAAACATGAGAAGAATGATGAGATTAAACAACGACGAGGTGCGGCATGCTTACATGAGGCTGTGCGGCAGAGGAAAGATTCGTGGCTGCAGCATGGAGAGGGCGAGGAAGGATTGGGGGAGAAAGAAGGATGTGAGACAGGAAGGAGCCTGCATCAGCGTGGGAAAACATGAGGGAAATACGATAACATTGGCAGAGGTGAGGGGCAGAGCACTAGGCGTACCAACTTCAGCTTTATTAGCCCAGCGAAAACAGCCAGGCCCTGCTGACGCATCCATGCTCTGACTTGCGTGTGGGTCACTCCCATCCCCCACAGCAGTGTTCCCAGAGTTGAGACGGCAAAATACAGCATGAGTAGTTGCATTGCACCAGGAGACTGCAAATGTGGGACAACACGGGCATACGCGGCATGTGAGAGCGAGCACGAGTAAGGGAAGGCAGTGTGTGATGAATTCTCAAAGGTCGCAGAGTCACTGGTTTGTTTTGCACGGTGGAAATCTTAAAGCCTCAGTCATGTCTGCACGCACCAGGGTGTGGAGGAAATGAAGAGGCACGTTGAGAGCGTGGCCATGCTGATGGAAAGCGGTAATCGCATTGATGGCATTGGCCTGCGAGTGAGGTCCGCATGTGCCATTTTCACATGTGACAGTGGCGTTACCCTGAGAGATAGATAGATAACACATGCAGACATGCAACATGGGATACATACGTGCATGCACATCCACACATGCAGAAAAAACTCGTGGATATTCAGCATAGAGCCATAATCTGCTGTACCTGCATAAAAATACTGACAGTAGTGAATACATTGTTTGTCACGTGGAAGCTGGACGAGCCACCAAGGAAGGAAGGAGAGCACAGGTGCATGCCAGGGGACAAACGATGTGAATTTTATGTGCTGATGACTTGGGAGGTGGGCATAGGAGGTCAACTGTTATGGTGATGATCACTCACATAATCTGTAACTGGAGAACGACCATAAGCATTCCTGGAAAGTGCCGTGATGCTGTTGAACGCAATGAGTGTCATGGCAGCGCTGAGAAGGAAAGCCACGAGCAGCCCTGGCTGCAGCATGGCCACTGCAGTCATCCGAGCCATGGCTAATGGAGCGAGCCCACTGCAAGGCGTGCGCCTGCACAACACAGTGAGGTGCGGCAGGGGGAGTGCGGGAAGGGGGACAGTGGTAGGGGAAGTGGGGGCAAGGGGGTTGGAAGAGGGCGCGTATGGGGAGGGTGAGAGGAGCAAGAGGGGCATCTGTATGGTGAGGTTATTGTGAGGTGCGTAAGGAGCAGGAAAGGGAGAGGGCAGCGGACAAACCAGGAAAGAGAGGGGCCCAAAAGGAAACGTGAATGAGGAGCGGACGAAGCAGGGGAAGATGGGGCAGGGAGGAGGGAATAAGTAGGAGGAGGAGGAGGAGGAGGGGATCACAACAATAGGGAAAGGGGGACGGGGGAGGGGGGAGGAGGGGAGAAGCGGGCAGGGATGGCGGCAGGGAATTCGCTAGAGAAGACCAAAAAGACTGGTGGCGGGGAAGTGACGTAAGTTCACATCAATAGGATACGCAGGAGTGGGCAAGTTTGATATGACTGGCGGCAAATCGAATATCAGTCAGATGTGAATCGGCCCAAGATCGATGGTCGAGGGTTTGGAGACGAGGGCACAGAACCAAGTCCACTGAGTGAGCCAGGAGGAGTGTGCATGCAACGAAGAGGAAGAAGGCAAAGTAGGTAGCAGGCTACAAGGAGAAGTAACGAGGCAAGGGGTGGAAGGACTAGATATGAAAGGGTGACGTTAGGTAGAAGGGGTGAAGGGGCGAAGGGTAGACAGGAGCAGAAATTTGGAGGGCAAGTGAGCAGGCATAAGGTTTGGAGATGGAAGAGGATGAAAGAGATGCATTCTGAGAACGCGTGGTGAAGCACGCAGGGAATGGAAGCAGCAGTGGGTGA